TTGATTTCACTCACAACTATGTTGGGAATATCTTTCCTTGCCAGTAAATATAGGGTTCAATTTTCTTTTTTTTAATGTTTGTTTATTTTTGAGAGAGAGACTGCAAGCAGGAAGGGACAAAGAGAGGAAAACACAGACTCTAAAGTCTCTGAGCTGTCTGCACAGAGCCCGACACGGGGTTCAAACTCACAGACTGCGAGATCATGACCTGAGCCGAAGTCGGACACTCAAGCGACTGAGCCACCCAGGCACCCCTACAGGGTTCAATTTTTAATGGTGAACACTATCCCATTGTATGGATGTGCCAAAAGTTTACCTTACCAACCGTATTTTCAGACATTTGAGTTCTTTTTACGTTTTAATGCACCCTATGCATTTTATTAGTTTTTCAAGCTGAATAACTAGGAGTGGAATTCATAACAAAATGATAATATTTTTTAAACTCCTGATATGCATTGCCAACTACAAATACAATGATCTTTATCTAGGAGACCATCAATTGTGTAAGACTGTCTGGGGCTCCCAGCCCCCAGCCCATCCTCTTTAGCAGAACTCTCTATTCTCTTCAGTTTTTGCCAATCTGACTCATTGGTATCTTAATCTCATTTTATGTGGAATCAGGTTTAAATGAAGCTTCTTGAAGGGCACTGGAGGGGAAAGGAAAATTTGGAGAGCTGCCTCAAGGGAAGGGTGTGTGTGAGAGAGACGGAGAGACAGAGAGATTGAGAGAGATTCAGAATCAGGTGGGAGAGGTCCCGTGTCCCCATGACCAGTCAAAATGTAGGAGGGCTGAGGACACTCTTGCGGTCCCCTTGCTCGGAGTCTTGAGTATAGTCTGTTCCTGCCCACACCCCCTGGCTTATTCCCACTGTGCAGCAAGGGTCTGGGGTCAGAAGTGTGGCCCTCCACCCTGGTGGGCCAGCTCTGGGTGGCGCTCGGACTCCGACCATCTGTGGCTCTGAATTTGAAGTTGGTGGAGGAGCAGTGTGCAAAAGAGCCCCCAGAGCTGGGACCCTGCGGCGTCCTCTCTGAGGGGAGGCTCAGCTGAGGGAGAAAGGCTGCTCACCTCGGGACCTGCCGCGCGTGTCCCTGAAATCTGGCCATGCCTCCCCCCTGCCGCGCCCCCCCCCCGCCAGCCCCCCCCCCCCCCGCCTGCCCTGTCCAGACCTGAGCAACAGTTGCGGTGCCCCCTACGTGCGCAGACTGAGACTCTGTCCACATCACATGACTATGGCTCAGGTTTTCTTTTTCCCTCTTTGTTGCTTTTAATACATAAAATGAGCATGTGTTTATTTAAAACAGCTTTCAAACTTAAACAAATAATGACAGACTGTTCAAACAGACTTCGGAAATCGCCCTAATCAGGATGTTTGAAAAAGCAAGACGACTCTCTATAAAAGTGGCTTGTAGGACCTTCAGTCCTGAAAGCACGGGTCTGCTTTGCACTTTGCAGCTGGAGATGGGCAAACCTCAGGGTCCGAATCCAGTCATGGGGTGGGGGGTGGGAGGGGTCAAATGATGCCCCTCAGCCCTACAACCTGACTTAATAAAATCCGAGGAAGTATAGATGGCCAATGTATTATCACCTCCCATCTTTGGCCGGAACACGTCGCGTGTGTATTTGTACATTTTAACTCCTCCTTTCTATAGAAATGATCAAGCATCTTCAGAACCAAAAGCTGACTCCTTAGAGGGAGCTAGTCAGTTGCTCCTGTGAGATAGCAGGCTCAGTAGACCCTGCGGAAGGCGGGGCAGCTTCGCAAGAGGGTAACTAGCAAACAAGTAAATACAGCCACTAGTTCACATTCGAGGGCACGTTTACAAGTGGCTTTGAGTCGCCTGTGTTAATCTTCACAACAACGAATTTTATGGGTGAAATAAATGAGGCCCAGGGCTGGATAATTTGTTCAAGGTCATAAGCAATAAAATGTCAAAACCGGGATTTCGCCCAGACCTTCTCCCCCAAGTGGAGAGCCATTCCCAGTCACCTGGGGCGGCGTCAGCAACTCAGTGTTTATTCTTTGGGTCAAGAGATGCTACTCTAGCTCATCCCACTCTAGAAATTGTGTATTTCTTTATAAGGCACATCAGAAACGGCCCTTTTGGTCCATTAGAAGCACAGTTATTTACATGAGGGGATGGTGGTCGGGAGAGGGAATTGTTCAGCCCCAGGGAGGTAGGCATATTTGGAGAGGCATTCCTTCTGCCCCCTGGCATCAGTAGCGTGCACCAGGCAAACAGGGAGAAAATGCCAGCCCTGGTCTGTCTCCGCTTCCCCCGCTTTCTCAGGATGGCTCTGTGGTCAGAAAGGTCAGAGGGCAAGGGGCTTATTAGTCCGTTTCATATTCTGCCAAGGGAAACCCCACTGGTAACTGAAGGAAGGCAGGACCCAACCCGGGACCCTCTCACGGTCAAGCCACACTGCATACAGCCCAGGGCCAGGGCCCCGAAGGATTCCGCGCCTCATCTGGCTGGGCTGTGGGAGGTTGCAGCGTGGAGGGGTGGGCTCTTAGATGTTTACAGCTGTGTCTGTGGGATCCTGGGATGCACTTTACAAGAAGCAGAGTTTCTCCCGCTCATAAATCTGTCCTGACCCTTCCTGCCCCATTTATCCCTGATTATATATAGGGAAGGTATGCTCCTTGACAGGCAGTCATGATCGTTACCTCAGCTCTGTCCTAGGAACACTAACCACATATTTCATTTATGTCTCTTGCCTTGCTTTTCTAAGGCTCCAATTTAGAACATGTCAACAATAGATTAGAAAAGAAGAAAACCCTTGCGCCCTCTCCTGGTCAGAGTTAATCTAGTGCATCTGAAAGTCCAGTGCACCCACTTGCCGGGGACCAGTCACTTGTCTAACTAAGGCTAACTGATGCATCTTGTGTTAATCTGACCAACGCTGTTGACACACTAAATGGACCGTTAGGTTTTCTGTGGTCCGGGATCAGAGTTCTCCTAACCCTGCACACAGGTGAAGAATGGGTGGATGATTCTTCATGGTGGGGACTGTCCTGTGCGTTATAAGATGGCGCACAGTGTCCCTCGCAGCAGCACCCCTACCAAAAACATCTCCAGATTGCCCGCAGTGAGAACCCCTGCCCTAAACCCTTCTCTGACTTCTATGAAAGGTGTCACCGATCACAGGGCAACCAGGGAGAGAGTGGGAATGCCATATCACAAACTCTTTGTGCCTCGGGGGGGGGGAGGGGGAGGCAACTTTGATGACAGATCAACTGGGTTCATTTCTAGGAATCTGTCCCTAAAAAGGAACTGTACAGGAATTTGTGTACAAAAATGTATCATATTATCATTTATGACAGCAAAGGTTTCAAACAGATCATCAGTTAAATCAAGTACAGCATTTGTGCAATGGAATATTATACAGTCATGAAGAATAATCGTGCCGATCTATGTTTAATAACATGGGAAGTTTCCCTAATGATGTCTTAAACTCTCACCTTCAGGACTAAGATTCCCAAAGGTTGTCATGTATAGAAGGAATAATTTCAAGTAGGGAAGGTAAGCTTCTGTTGAAGCATTGGGCCAAAGACAGAACTCCAGCCAGTGACTGAATTCAGAAAACTTTAAGTGCGAATTGAACAAATATTTATAAAAACCTACATATATCAAAATCATGAACAGCTCCGGAGAGACAAAGCTGATACCTGGTTCTTCCGTGCAGTACTTGCCCTACACAGACCAAAACACTGAACACCGTCCCATCCACCTCCACACGGCAAAGCCAGAAGGGTGGGCGTGTTGCTGTCTCACGTAATGAAATCGTGTGCCGTGATGCCACGTTGTGGGGAATAATGTGGAACTAGGTCTTGTTCTCTTCGTGTCTGAATAAATCAGACCAAGCGAAAAGAATTTCGCTTACCGCTTTATATGTTCAGATATAGTAAGAGAGTTGTTCAGATACTCATGGGGTCCAACAAACCTCCCCCAACAAACTTAAGAAATGAGCAGCGAGTGATTGATCCAGTCCGGAACAGTCCAGAGAATGTCGTTATGACATACTGCAGACCCGACTTAGATGCAGCAAAAGGAAGGGAGGAGCCATCTTCTTTTCTCAGGGACCTGTGTCTGCAGTGATGCGTCACGAACTGACCAGAAGTGACCATGTGCTTTGCAAAGTGCACAACTTGAGTTAAATCCAGGATTGTGGTCATCCAGCCCGGAAGAAACCCCGCGACAACTTTTTTACCCCGGGAGAACTCTGTTACTTTAGAGGCTAGGCATGCCACCAGGGGAGGCCACCCTGTTTGTGTGCACCGCACCAGCACCCCGGACAGAGCTTCCGTGAGCCGTGCGAGGGCATCAGCAGACTGAAGAGCACTGGTGTGGATCTGGGTTCGAATCCAGTCTCTGCCATTGATTAGACAAATCCCTTAACCTCTGCGTTCCCCCCCCACCCCAGTGTTTTCCCCTCTTCAGAACAGAAGCAAATAAAATGACTCCATAATATTGGCACAAAGAATAAATAAAACGATGCATTTGAGACATTTATCCCAAGTGCCTAGCATACAGCAAAGCATTCAATAAAGGAGCAGACTCATACTCAGTATTTCTTCTTTTTAGGAATGGCCATGCCAGCTAAAATTGCAAAGCCTCCAATATTTTCCAACTGCATTTGCCGTTTTATTTTTCTCCTTAGCACTTAGAAATCTCGAATCCACCCTGTGATACACTTATTTTGTTTGCTGTCTGTGGACCGTGACTAGATAAAAGATTGGTAAAGTAGGAATGTTCGGTCTGCATCGCTCGCTGCTGTGTCTCTGCGGTACTGGCCGCATCAACGGGACCTCAATGACTACCTCTCGAATGAAAGTAAAAAGAGTGGGTCTGAATCACTGCCCCGAAAGAGCGTTTTCTTTTTCCCCATGCCTTTCAAAGGTGCCTCAGTCCTCTGGCTGGATGCCACCCCCCTGGAGGTTTGTCTCCTGTCTCTCTCTCTCTAATTCTCTTTCTTTTTTCTCCCCCTCTCGTCCCCACAGGATGCCTTTGTGGAACTGTACGGCCCCAGCATGCAGCCTCTGTTTGATTTCTCCTGGCTCTCTCTGAAGGCCCTGCTCAGTCTGGCCCTGGTGGGGGCTTGCGTCACCTTGGGTGCCTATCTGGGCCACAAGTGAAGTCAGAAGACCTGCCACAAACAAATATGCAAAAGGTTCACTAAAGCAGTAGAAATATATGCATCGCCAGTGATGTACCATGAAACGAAGCTGTGGTCTCTTAAAAACAAAACCTAAAACAAAACAAAAACAGCTTTCAGGCTCAGCGTCGAATCAGCTATTTACTGCCAAAGGGAAATACCATTTATTTTTTACATTATCAAGAAAAAAAAAAGATTTATTTATTTAAGACAGTCCCGTCGAACCTCCTGTTTTGGGAAACCTTGCCGCTAATTGCCAAGCCCCCCACCCCCTGGCCAGCTCCAACCTGGGGCTCCTGTGCCTGTAAACTCGGATTTCTTTTCCATGTTGTTGGCTGGACTGACTCACCATCTGAAGAGCAAACAAACTGACAAAGGACTTGACTGTTCCAGAAGCCGGGTGTCTGGCTGTTGGGAGTTAGGAAGAAGGTGTTCATTTTCCTTGCATTTATTTGCCGTGGGGGCTGCGATACTAAGAGAGGAAAGGCGATCGGCGAAGTCCATTCTTCCCTGGCCTGAAGAGCAGACACTTTGCATATGGTTCACATGGTACAGACCCAGTTGGAAGAAAAAAACTGGGCAACTTCAGATGGACTTGGTATCCACCGAGATTTCCATCCCCAAGGACCGTGATGGGGAAAATGCCGTTAAACCATAGGAAAGTATTTTTTTAAGCTACCAATTGTGCCGAGAAGCATTCTAGCAATTTATCCAATAGCATCCAGTACCTTAAGCCCTGATGTGTACATTCATACGTTTTTGGATACACTCTCCCCCCCCCCCAATACTGGCTCTGTCTGTGTATGAAACCGAATCCCCTGGAATGCGAGGACGTGAACGTTTTGGTGACTTACCCAGAAGCATCAGGCCGCCGCAAGTGCCTGCGTCCCCCTGAGAGGCCACGGCCTGCAGTCCCGCCGTGTCCCCCGCTCGGAGGCCTCGCCCCGGAACGGAGCCTGGGCACTCGCTGGCCTGCGCGAAGGGGCTGTAAACCGAGCAGTGCGGTCTCCGAAGGTCTGCAAGGCCACAGAGCCCAGAAGCCCACTGTCCAGAAAGAACAGCCGTCGGCCTGGGCCCGTGACCCTGGGCCCCCCACTTGGCGCCCTTTGTCCTCGTGGAGCGTGGAACCCGCAAGCCAAGGCTCTTAAGACGTTGATCGCTGTGGACGGGAGGAAACAGAGGCACCGCGCCTTGCCCGGCCGAGGGGGGCGGTGATGCAGCCACTGGAAGAAAACGCGGGCAGGAGACGCGTGGCCGGAGCGCGGGTGTGGCCGCGGCGCATGCGTGCTGGCCGCCCCCCCCCCCCCCCCCCCCCCCCCCCCCCGCCTGCCTGCGCGGTTTAAAGCAAGGCTTTAAATGACTTTGGGGAAGGTCATAAATCCTAAAGAAAGCGTTGAAATGAGGTGTCATGGATTCACTGACCTATGTCTATGGGATTACGAAGTAAAACATTATCTTGTTATTGTAGTTGGGGTTTTTTTTGAAAACCTGACAGAGGGGAGGAAAAAAAAAAAAAAGTTCCAGGTGTGGAATGTGGGAATTTATCTGTACCTCCTGGGGCATTAAAAAAGAAAAAAAAAATCAGTGCTGAAAACTCTAGAGAAGTAGTGAAGAAGTGAAATCTCCAGCGATTAAACTAGGAAATATTTTTTCAAGTTTAGAATCAGCTTTGAGACATTTATGGAGTCAATGTGGCATTATTGCATTATATACCATTTATCTGTATTAACTTCAGAATGTACTATGTTCCATGTTTAATGCTGTGGTTGATATTTTGAAAGCTGCTTTAAAGAAATACATGCATCTCAGCATTTTTTTAAAAGTCGTATTTAGTTATGGCCTCTACACTATTTGTTAGCAAAAAATTGTCATTTTTTCCATTTGTGATGTTTGTCTCAATTCTTTAAAAGCATTTCCGGGAAGGAGAGAGAATCCCTGGGTCTCAGCTACGTGAAAAACCCCTGGGGCTGCTGGCCACTGAGGGAGGAGCTTTGCTTCAACCAAGTTTTGTACATTTCCTCGTCAACAGAATTGTTTATTGTGAAGCATATATCTGTTGTCCCTTTGACCTTGTTCCTTGAAGGTTTACTGGTCCCTGGGCAAATCAGAATCTAACTCCCATTATTTAGGATGACATACGTGTTTGGTTAAACCCATGAGATTCATTCAGTTGAAAATCCAAACGGTAAATGACCAGGGGATTAAATTCTGGCCTTGATGGTTTGACCTTTAGAGGGTCGCAGTCCGTGGTCTGTTGTGACATGGATCCATCAAGCGCACTCCTGCCCACGGGGCCCTTCCCGTGGCTGTCCTTTGGATTCTTGCTGAAATGCAGTGAGGCCGGTGCCCCTCCTTGAAGCCAGACCTCCCTGGCAGGCCTCAGGGAACGGGATGATCAGACCTTCGAATGATTCTAATGTTTAAGCGAAATACTATTTTCTGAAACGTTTACATTGTCAAAAGCGATGAGTATGGAATATCAGATCCTGTGCTGCTTTCCTACCAAGATCATTTTAGTGGAGTCAATTTGCAGTACACTCCAAGTAGCGACATCCTCCAAGCTGCTTTAGAAGTTAACAATGAAGAACATGGACATTTTAATATAAAGACTGTCTTTTGTTGTTGTTGTTTTTATTGTTCAAAGAGGATTTGAAGAGTATTCTAAAAATGTATATATGTTAAAAAAAAAAAAAGGTCACGGGGGCTAATTTCTGCCTGGTTTTCCTTTGCTGTGGGGTTTTGTTATCTGGTTTTAATGGTAAATGTGCCTGGCCACCTGCCCCCAAAACTGTACAGTATTGTGGCTTCACTTGCTCTAAGAGTAGTTGTTGCATTTTTCTTGTTCTTAAAAACATGTTAGAAGCAATGAACGTATATAAAAGCCTCACTTGTCATTTTTTTCTTCTTCCTTTCAATGTCTCTATTATTTTGCGGTCAGACAACAGAGAACCGTTCCCACCTATCTTGTGCTAAGAAGGGATTCACACCTGAATTACTGGTTTATATGTTGGCCAAGGTCAGAGTTAAATAGAACACATACATTTTCCAAATTGGGGTCAAGGGCTCTCTACAAAGAACCACAGGGAGAGGGGTGCCTGGGTGGGTTAGTTGGTTGAGCATCTGACTCTTGATTTCAGCTCAGGTCATGATCCCAGGGTCGGGGGATCAGGCCCTTCCTTGGGCTCCACACTGAATATGGGGCCTGCTTAATAGTCTCTCTCTCTCTCTCTCTCTCTCAAAAATTAAACAAACAAAACACACAGGGGCTCCTGGGTGGCTCAGTTGGTTGAGCATCCAACTTCGGGTCAGGTCATAAACTCACAGTTCCCAAGTTCGAGCCCTGCATCGGGATCTGTGCTGACAGCTCAGAGCCTGGAGCCTGCCTCAGATTCTGTGTCTCCCTCTCTCTCTGCCCCTCCCTTGCTCACACTCTTGTCTCTCTCTCTCTCAAAAATGAATAAAAACATTAACAAAACACACACACAAGGAGAAAAGCACCCAGGAACCACCTCAATCCTCCTGTGCGCTCACTGCACAAGCACTCTGAAAGCTCAAATGACAGCTGACATACTCCATAGCACACAGTTCATCTCAGGTTTTTCAGTGGCTGGAAATCCTTGCAGTTTAAGATTTGAAGTCAAGTCACATTTCAAATTAAGGAAGCACCTTGTAAAGAAAAAAATAACCCAAAAAAACCAACATTCTCTGCCCCAGCTTACTTATCTCTGAATATTCAGATATGACGTTCCATTTACATGTGACTTTTATTTCATTGGTAAATGTTTATTGTTTATCATCTAAGGACCTAGTCCTGGCCCAATATGGGAAATTAGGAAGTGATTACAAATCAAGAGGAGCAAAAATAATTAGGATTAAATGTAAGTAAAGTAGCCTATGTTATAATTAAACGTATGCTAAAATGACTAATTTATAAATGTGAACTTCAGTGCTAATGTCAATTGTACTTTTAGGGCAGTGGCTGTTTTTATACTTTCTTATCACTTATAGTTAGTAATGTACACCTACTCTATCAGAAAAAAACAGGAAAGGCTTGAAATATAAGCCATCCTAAGGAAATTAGGGAGTCAGTTGAAATTCTATTCTGATCTTATTCTGTGGTGTCTTTTGCAGCTCAGACAAATGTGGTTACACACTTTTTAAGAAATACAATTCTACATTGTCAGGCTTATGAAGGTTCCAATCAGATCTTTATTGTTATTCAATTTGGATCTTTCAGGGATTTTTTTTTTTTTTTTTAATTATTACAGGACAAAGGACATTTGTTGCGAGGATGGGAGGGAGGAGGAATTTTCAGAGGAGCAAAACTTTCCCGAGACAGGATCAGGAAGGTTTTCAGAGTGGCCAGGACCGCAGGGGAATGGAATGGAAACAAGTGGGACCTTTAGTAGGGTCAAGGCGATGCCTCCATGAAGGACCTTCAGCAATAAAAGAGAAGCAGGTTTAAGTTCTGGGGCATGCGTAGATTCTAGAGACTTCACAACACCTCAAAGTCCAGCACTCTTTTAGACATTTACCATTAATGGTATATATTTCAAGCCTGGATATGTCTAATGGCTATTTAAACAACAACCTTGCAGTTTTAACCGACAGGACTCTTAATGAAAACTTCTGGTTGGTAGGGACATCTATTTCTAAATATTATGCACAATACAGTAGGGTAAGGAGTGTGAAACTGAATTGGGTAAGTGGTAATACAAGACCCTTATCCTTACCTGAAGAATCACTCTGTTCCATGTCTGTGCTCACAGGACAGAGTTTGGACGACTGTGAAATATGCATCCCACTGGGCATGGAAAAAACCAAGTGGAGTATGAATGCTTTTGTACCAATTCATAAGGACAACCCCAGAAAATAAAGCTAATATCCTACCTTGATGACAAGGTTGTTCAGTACACCAAATAGTAGAGGCCGATTTTAGGCAGACAGATTTGAGCTGTGAAAGGCAGAAGGGCCCAGGGCACCCACCTGGCTGAATCCAGACAGGCCCATCAGGCGACTCACCTGAAAATGTCCATAGGCCCTAACTGACCAATAGGCTACTTACAACCAGGCAAAGGTTGTCCTTGCAGATAAGACAGCCTCTCTCTCCTCTGCTGTCCTGCACACTGCTCCCTTCCGGTGTTCTCTAGAAACTTCTATCGCCTTTGTTCTGCCCCAGGTGAGTTCTTTCACCTCCCGTGCCACTGGCTTCCACCCAATTATCATCGCCTCATGTTGGGGGCCTCCATCTGATCAAGAAACACACCATTTAGACACCACACAAATGTTGTTAGGTGAACAACACTGCTCAGAGCTTACTTCCATAAAAAAAAAAAGCAAGAATAGACTTGATGGTGAATCTAGCTTTTTCTAGTAATAGGCAATTTCTGCTTAGGAATACATGTCCTTCTTGGCGGGGAGGGAGCGGAAGAGAATAATCCAGCCCCATTCATCTCAGTAAGAGGTGCACCGCCAATAAATTAATTTTTTATATTTAATAATTATCAAAATTTATAACCTATTTGTACATCTTTAAGAATTGGGTAATAATAATAATAGTAACAATTACTCAACCCAGGAACAAAACTGTAAAGCCTTATGTCACAAAAATTTATAGACTTACTTTGGTGGTAGAAATTTATGGGCAGTTAATTAATTTCAAACTTTCAGTTTTAAGAAATATCACATGAGGATAAAATGGAGGGGTAGAAAGATGAATTTTGGAGGGAAAAGGAAAAATGTAAAATTTCCAAGTGTCCAATAAGTAATTTGTCCCTGTGTTTTTTCATGATGCTGAGTATCAAATCATTGTCATATTTCGATTCCAAGTCTATAAAGAACAAATGTATTTTAAAAAATTTTTTTAAATTATTTATTTTTGAGAAAGAGAGAGAGACAGAGCATGAGCAGGGGAGGGTCAGAGAGAGAGAAGGAGACACAGAATCCAAAGCAGGCTCTAGACTCTGAGCTGTCAGCACAGATCCTGATGCGGGGCTTGAACTCCCAAACCATGAGATCATGAGCTGAGCTGAAGAGATGCTTCACCACCCAGGTCCCCCTGTTTTTAAATGTCAATTGTTATCTTTTCAGACAAGCTTGAAAATATGTGTCAAAATTCTATTTCAAATCAGGGGTTCTCTCTTGGAAGAGACCTCCAAACAAGAAAAAAATGGTGCCGTAACCAAAGAATGGCCAAATTCTGACTGTTGCCTTTTATGATAGCTGTGTGAGGAGCCCTATCTTCTCAGGACTTCTTCATCCCACTAAAGTCTATCTGGAAATTACTCAAGCATTTTATCAGGAATCATAATTACTTCATGGAAGGGACGACCTCATCGTCATACAAAAATGTTCTACCATTGGCAGTTTGGGGACACTTTTCTTTCCCATTCTATTAACAACACATTGCAAATTAAATCCTTTGCAACTGTTTACATTTACATTGGAAAAATTAAATGCCAAACATGGGTAAGGGTGGAATTTGTCTTTCAAATTTTTAGTGGCACACCAGCACCTCTCAGCACCTCCTCGGGGCTCTGTTGAGAGCTCTAAAGCAGAAGAGGAAGACGGGTGGGAAGGAAGAGCAGAAGATACACTCCCTCCCTCCAGGACCCAGCAGGGCTTTTGTATTGAAATAAATCTTTCTGTCAGCACCAAGGAGGTAGGTAAATGGTAATAATAATTGCAATAATTACTCATTCCAGGAACAAAAGATAATAACAATAAAGCCTTAAGGTCACAAAAACTCATTTAAATGCACTGGCTTCCTTTTGTTATAGAAAAGTATAAGAGGCTCTCAATTTAAAATATTTTCTATTTGTTGCAAATTTATGCAAAAATTATTTTTTGTTTGTTTTGCATTAAAAAAAAAAAAAACCCACAGCCTCATTGCCCACCTTCTCTTACTTAATTCTCTGTCTGTGGTTGCCTGCCCATGTACTGTTCTTAATTTATACTGCTGAAATATCTGAGCCCACATCAGTGATGAAAGGCATGTCCCCAAAGCAATCAGGCCTCTTCTCTCTTTTCTCACCCCCTAGAGAAGAACTCTCTGAGTTGACTTTAATTACAGCCTCCTTGCAGGGTCTCCTATGGTTCCATGGACCCAGAGTCAGAATCTCTGAGAGGGAATGTCAAAACTCTGAAGAGCCTGATATTTTTTCCCTGCTTGAAAGCTAACAAGTCTGCTTGCCACCATTTAATGGATGCTGGTCGAAAACATGAGATCCCTGGGTCAGAGACAAAGGACAGGTTATTACTGAGAGCACTCGAAGTAGTCAGAGTATCAGCATTTTTGAGCCTGGTCCCTAAGCACCGATTCCCACAAGAGTATGTGAAAAGGACCAGAAGGCATCTGCGCACACAGTGGGTTGTGATACAGGAGAGGAACTCTCAGTTTAGGAATTTAGGCAACTCCTATCATTTATAATGAGCAGTAAGCATGTCTGCCCTTTGCTCTGGAAGAAGGCACCGTGTCTGTCTTTGCTATACAAACAGCCCTGGAAAGTATGGAACAAAGAAGTCAAATGCCTTGCTTGCAACATGCGCAGAAACATGAGAAACCCATGGTGAATTGTCCCCCAGCGGTAACACAGAACAAGTCTACCCATGCTGTAGATCAGGCCCCTAAATGCAAAGACAGCAAACATATATTCCTGCATGGACACACCCCATGTATCAACGTCTCTTTAATAGGATTACACCAAATATGATCATGGTTCCTTAGCTAAGAGCTAACTCGATGCTGCTGATCATCAAAGATAACCTTGGGTCTCTCTTCTCAGCTACCTGTTATCCATGAGCAACTAGATATTTACTATCATCTCAACACGTCAACCAAATCTAACTTACAATCTGTTCCCAAGGTTAGGTCTTTCCCTAGCT